CTTGCAGCAAACAGCCTGATTAGCACAAGAAAAAAAAATCTGCTTCTGCCTCCCAGCAATTTGCCTTGTGGAGCAAACAGCAAGTTTCACTTCGTGCCTCCCGATCATCAGCTGTTTCAGGCTGCAGAGATTGCTACAGCCTATTGCAGCCTCCGCAAGCCCCATTTTTCCCATTTGCTGGGTGAGGCTACATTCAGTATATAAGACGCACCCAAATTTTCACCCTTTTAGGGGGGAAAGGTGAGTCTTGTACTCCAAAAAATACGGTACGCAAGATGGCCTTGTCCCATTCTTTCTTAATCCCATTGAGCAACTACTCAACCATCCCACGTTTGGTAAAGTCTGTGCCTATCATATTAAATTCTGATTGATACGTTTTGATTAACAGGATGGTGTGTAAGGGCCACATCCACATCCAGCCCATGTGTGGTCCCAGTTGGTCGGTAGCAGTCCGTTTCTCATGTGGCTCCTTTGGAAAATTAATCCTCCCACCCCCAATATAGACAAAGGATTTATTCTGTGTATTGATCTTTTGTCTATCATTGCACTTTGTTTTAGAGATTGCTAATTTCATATCATTTTCTTCTGCTTTCTTCCCAAGTATACTATACCTATGGGGAACATGCCCCTAGACCAGGGCTGTGAAACTCCCAGCCCTTGGGCTGGATGCATCACATGCTGGCCACGCCCACGCCCAATTTAGCGAAGGGAGGAAAGTCCTGATACATCATGTGACGCTGCCGTGATGACATGAGTTTGATCCCCCCCCCATCCTATACTCTTCTTCTAGTAAGATAAAATTAGCTAGGTGTTGGATTTTGTTCATGTATTTCTTGTAAATAAATCCATTATTACACATGTATACAATCCAAGATCCTAGCATATTAAACTCCCCTACTCTTAGTAATTATGCTTATGAATGCAAAAAAAGTAAATCTTACCAGCTGGTAGAGTCAACTAAGATAAAGTTATCAAAACAAAGATCTGGTTGAAAAAATATATGTTTGTAGGCAGTGAAACACAATGATTCCTTTGTGCAATAAAAATACATTCTTTATTCCCAGAAAAATGCAGATGGCAGATAAGTGTTGAAATAATTTCATTAAAGACATTAACAGATTATGTTAGCCTAACATAACCCTAAACATTATATAGCGTTTTTCAAAAATCTATCAAGTTACACTACAGTGTAAAAATAATTGTGTTATTCTACAAAACACCCATTGCTATGAAAATAATAATTATGCCCTACTACAGAGTTGGGATATTGCAATTTAAACTTTATTCAAGATTCATTTCTTTGCCTTTTTCCAGTTCTCTAAACTGCTTGTTTTATTCTGAATCATACAGTATGGTTCCATGCCACTTATTAATTTCCCAATGTACTTGTTAGCAAGAACTCCCTTGGAAGTTGTAATAAAATGATCATGTTACTAATGGACACCTAGCTAATTCAAAGGGATAGACCTACTAACAAATTAAGATGCAGCTTGGAGGCATTAGCGATCAATAACTAATTGCATTGATCTGTCCCCAAAGCAGGTAGATGGAACTTCAAACAGATCACATTCAGTTTTATGGAAGCAGTCTGAATTTGAAACAAGCTTTCTTGAGCTTTGAATGTGCTCCATCTATGTTGGATGGAGTTATCTATGTTGTAGTCAGAATAAAAAATGATCAAGGGGTATTACAACTTGTTCAACAATAAACTACTGTGCTTCTGGAATGCTCGCAATAACTTGTTCCAAAATCAGAATCACTCATTTTGAAATCTGAACAGAAGTTTTAATTACAAACTAAGTTGAAAAGTCAAAATGTGTGTAAGAATTTTACAGAAACGTTAAAGATGTAATAGTATTTGGAGATTGCTGGAACTTGTTTTTACATTCCATAGTCTTCCTCACACACACCCATCTATATTCCTCACAGATTATAATTAAATTCCTATAGTGATATTGTACAGTATTAAAACTGTACAAGGGTTAGGAAACATTTGCCACAGTCAATTCACAGACAGGTGAATTTATTATGTCAATCATCTTCATCTCCTTTGGATAATGTGACGACTGCCAAAGAATTATTTAGAATAGTGATGTTAACTCATACATACTGATAGATGGCATATTAAAGTTTCATAATATTTCTGGAATATTTCCCCCCAGTGTTTGACATCTGCATGGGATCATCCTCAGTCTAAATAAGTGCTAACAAATGGATGGACACATTCTATGGTTATTATGTAGTGTACAGTACAGTCCAAAATCTCCCAATGAAATAGTAATTTGTAGATTTATAATGAAACATTAAAAAGGGGGCATAAATAACCTGATGATTATTCTTATAAAAACTACAAACAAAAGGATGATTTTCCTGTCATTTTCAACTAACTATGGAAATAACAGCTAGCTTTGAATGCTATCAGATGAAATTGGCAAGATGGAGGGGAGGGGAAAACAATGCAGTCACCTTTTAAGTGCATATCCATTGCTCTTTACTCTTACTTTATACTTTTACCAGCAACATTTTTCCCTTTTTTATTCCCCCCCCCCACCTTAAGGAACAATTATGTGAAATCTAAAATCTAAGTCATTATTGCTAAATTTGTAGGTTTAGTTGCTATAGTTATTTGTATTTTCTCTGACAGGCCAACTAATCCACTTGAATTTATTTTACTTATTATGAATGTTATAGCTAGTTTTTTTAAACCACTATTACTGAGGAATACTGTTTATATAGAAAATACAGAAAATTCCTAATATTAAGCATTAATATTAAGAAAATAGAATCCATACTGTTAAAGTATTTAATCTTATAAGCACCCAAAAATAAAGTAAAGAAAAAAGCAAAACATATACAGAGCAATATGCTGCCAAATGCCATAATAATTTTCTATGTGTGCCATACAAGAAAACAACTTTTGTTTGGCATCACCTCTTTGAGACAATACTGCTGGTTTTGGACAGAACTTTACAAGTTCCCAAATGTCTTACTTCAATGGCACTAGGCTCTTGGATTAAGCTATTTCTCAACTGTGGTTCAACAGGCATGTTAAATATACAATATTTTGAAAAACAGCTATTTACAAAATACTATTTCATGATGTCCAATCTCAGCCATTTCTTTCAGATATTATTATAAGAAAAAAAAAACCTATTCAATGTTTCTACATATATTCTGATATATTAATTAAATATCATAGAAACTGTTTCTTTAAAGGTTAGGAGAAAAAAAAAAACAAGGCACACGCAGGTATGTCTACTTCACAGATTTGTGGTGTTTTTCATTACAGCATCTTATGTTATGTTACTTTACAATAACCCTCCAAGGGAGTAAAACACTCAGTTTCATTAAGATGAATGCACCCATTTGAAGTCTTCCTAATGTAAGACAGACAGACAGATTTTTTTCATTTGTTACAGAAGTCCAAAACTTATTTATAGGAACACATCTGTTAATCTGCGACATATCTGTGAGAGAAAAGTTTAAGCTATATTGTATATAGTCAGCTCATGTCTCCTTTTTTTCAGGTAATAATAAAACCAATCTTCCCAAATACAAATACAGACTACTTTTCAAAAATGCTTTCCCAGCTACTGCAAAATCTGATACAATCGTAATACTTTCTTCAGATCTGCTATGAAGATATCAACTCCCTCATCAGTCAGATTACTGACATCTGGCAAGAAGAGGTCTGATTTATCAGAAGTAATTGAATTATGTGACAGAAAGTGCACACCAATTTTATTGCAATAGGTTACCATTATATTGTTAACCAGAATTTGAGCGGTTTCCGTATATCTAGGCTTTGGATCGTATTTCCAAATACGTCTTGGTAACAGTGAGGACCAAACTATAACAGCATCCGGGAATGCTCTTTTAAGAATGCCTAAATCATTTTTCATTGAGATAATGACTGAAGTATTATTTTCAGGAAACAGATCATCTTCACCAAGATGAATTATTATTACTGAAGGAGGAGATCGGCTATGATAAATTTCATGCAGAGCAGGCATAAGTTGCGTCCACATCATGTCTTCTATGCCATGCCAAAATACATTTGCCCGTGAAGGTGATATGCCCAACTGCAATCCTTGTGGGTGACTTTGCGCTCTTTTTTTCGATGCCAAGATCACAGAATTCCCACATATCCATATTTCCTTTGGTTTAGGTGGCAGATTTCCAACACCTAAAAGCAAAATACCACATTAACTTATTTGATTCAAGTTCTATATAAGTTTACTATTCCAACATCAGAACAGCAATAATGCCTCTTCAAAGTAAAATATTATAAAAATGTTACTATGATGGACAAATCATATCAACACTTAAAAACAAAATCAAGAAATGCAAGTTAATTATATCTTCAAAAATGTACCATAATTAAATTTTAGAATATTGTTAAGACAATGGATTATCCAAATGGAATTAACAGATCAGGGGATGACAAAAGATCAGCTCAACTATGAGATTGAAGATGAATTGGCACAAAAACAAAAAATTCATTCTTAAAATATATGTGATGATTAACAGAAGCAGATGAAAGAAATTTTCTCTTCAGATTTCTGGGCCACCACTACACTAAGACAAGCAAGAGCTTGGCCTACACCAGTAGTTCTCAACCTTTTCTTCACCATGGACATCCTTTAAATACCCTTTGTGGCCACAAACCATGGCCACACCAAGACTTAAAGTCTTAACTTAAATCATAACACTTCTTCAAGCCTTCGTGGGATCCACGGACCATAGCTTGAGAAAAACACTGTCACCACCATTAATTTTCCATCCAGTAGCAGCAGTAATACATAAGCAAGAAAAAAACATAAAAGCAGAGATATTCACAGATTTGTGAGGTGTCGTAGTGCCATCTCCTATGGAGCAGCCTTATCCTTTACAATTTAGAGAACCCAAGATCTCTTAGCCTTTCAGAAGACTGGCCCTGGAACATGGCCCCAAAATATGTGTATTCTTATACAATTGTTATATAATGTCTTGTTTTTCTATGAATTTGTTTATTTTTAATTCTGATCATATAGTTTTTATAACAGCTTTGTACCATATAGTATCAAACTTGTTAACTGCCAAGATTTTCCCCTATGTATTCAAAATGGACTGTAATTAACATAGCTTTTGGTGTCATTTTTGTAACTTGGCATTTTAGTGGTACTGCTGCTATTATATTATTATCCTCGGGATGGTGTCATTATTCGGTGGGTGACATTTCCTTCTTTTGAAAGTGGTACATTAGAACTTCATGTTAATATGTGCCATTGTGTATATGGGTAAATGACAATAAAGGCTATCTTATAATTGTTTTTGCATTGACTGCTTGCCGCCTAGAGTTATGTATTTCAGATGGGTAGACAGTCATTTTGAGAACACCATGTGTGTAAATGAAGCAAAAATAGTTTAATCTGAACTAGAGAGAACATACAGCTGTATTTGTGGCATCTCTCTGGGGCTCAAGAATTAGAAATACCCAGTTGTTTTCACCCGAGCTTAAACTATTGCAAGAATCACAGAATCTCTATAAACATGTAAGAATCACACTATCTTTCCAATTCTGAATGGGGAAAAATGTGAAAAGTTAAGATGAAGGGGCAGGATTAAAACTTGAAAAATGGGGAAAAGACAAAATAGCACAGATCTGTTCTGGCATTAGTATCTGGGAAGATTCTAGAGCAGATCACAAAATATCTGATTTACAAGGAGTTTGAAAACTACAAGAATTACCATAAATCAGCAAGAATTTATCAAGAACAAATTTTGCCAGAGTAACCATATTTCAACGAATGCTACTGCTTTGCGTCTCATTCTCAGCACCACACTTGAAGAAGGATTTAGAGATACCAGGAAAGGTTCAGGGAAGGGTGACAAAGATTACCAAGGGACTAGAATCTAAGCTTATGAAGAGAGATTGAAGGAGCTGAAAAAAGATGACCGAGGTCAGTACTCTTCAAGTAAAACACCTGAAAAGATGCTACACAGAAAAAGGTCAAGACCTTTCTTGTGTCGGGGTACAGAAATAATAGATTTAAGTGATAAGGTAGGTTCTGATTAGAAAAATTAGATACTAGGAAAAAAATCATAGTATTTGGAGAAGTATATGTATGCTCCCATTCCTTGGCCACATGAAAGCCAAAGCGAAAACAGTCATTTGTGGGAAATGGATTTGAGGGCCAAAATAGCCCTTTCTAAATCAATGATTCTAACTCTCTGTACTTCCTAATCTTGGTAATTTAAATTAAAGCTACAAATATGATGGGGGTTCACAACAGTGGTGGGATTCAGCCAGTTCGCACCACATGGGGAGAACCAGTTGTTAACTTTCTGAGCGGTTTGATGAGCTGATTGTTGGAAGAAATAATTAGGCAGAGAACTGGTTGTTAAATTATTTGAATCCCACCACTGGTACACAATTTACAGTGAAACATGCAAGAGTAGAGTAGAGGATGGGGAGGAATGGAAAGGAACAGAATAGAATGAGCTGGGACAGGACCTTGGAGGTCTTCTAGTCCAGCCCCCTGCTCAAGCAAGAGAATCTATACCATTTAAGCTGTCCCACTGGTTATCCTAACTTAGTTACACATTACCTTGCCTTTTCAATAGCTATAGGGGTGAGACCAAGATTATCAAAGGACTAGTACCAGTCACGTCGAGAGTTTGTCTATCGCACTAATTTGCGCTTAACTTTTCTGGCAGAAGTATAAAGCCAACAGAGGTTTTGCACATACAGTTTCCGTTCAAGAGAAACGCAGACATTTCCAGATTTCCTTGGAAAGGTGGTCTGGACACTCCAGCGGTTGCCTGACTTAACTCACCTTCTGCGGAGGGCACCACAGTGATTACAGAGGTACGTTTCTGATTGACTGCCCTCTTCCTCTGGTCGCATCCCGCCACTAGTGGAATACGATTCAAGTTACCCCCAGAAGCTACTCCGTTGCAGCCGCCCACGTTCAATGCGGGGACAGGGGACGCCATCGCCGCAGGACCCAGCAAGCCCCGTCTACCCGCTGTTATAACTGCGTCTAGGGCTTTCGCAAGAGAGGAGCTGGGCGGGTTGCCCTTGGCATCGGAGGGCAGGGCATCTTTATCCCTCACAGTATTATAGAGACCCGGGCTACCGTCGTTAGGCTTAATGGGTACCATGGCAGGAAAATTCAGACTGTTTTGGGACTTTAGGGCACGAAGCAGGGACTCTCTTTTCACTGAAGCTGCCTTCTCCGTCCAAGGACCGTCCTTAAAGAGAAAGACCACCCGAGGCTGGAGAGTGGCCAATGCTCCACCAACTAGAAGGAGCCGAGGACTTTCGTTGCGGAGCCACGATAGGCAGAAGAGGCAGATTCTATGGGATCTTCTGGGCTGATGCGTCACCGAGTCCTGCCCTTGCCCGTCCACGCCCGCGGGTGGGTAGGAGGGGGTGGCGGCACAGCCGAGCACAGCAAGCAGCCCGTTACCCTGGAAACCACTTCCTGGTCACGTTCCCTCTTCTAATCCTGATGCAGGTTTAATCGAGTCACGGAAGAGCATCAAAAGAGAAACCGCGAGATTGAAGACGGCTCCCCCCGGCCGCCGTAGCTTTTAAAAAAAACCAACAACACCCCGTGGCTCAAATGCATTCGCATGCGTATTAGCTTCGCTAGGTTCTGTAAATATGTAAAAGTTAGGCGCGCAATGGTGCACTCACTTCCAGGTTCCTTGAAATCTTTTTGTCTACTGGGAAGAATCGGGCCCTGTAATAGAAAAACCTCGGACCAATAAGCCAGAATTTTATTTTGTTATTACAAAGCAAATGGTCCCTCTTACGTTATGTGAAAAAATTATTTACCACAGAAAGATTAGCTATTTTGCTTTGAATTTTAGTCTCGGAAGATATATAAGCAAGGGGGAAAAACGATAGTTGGACGTTGGCAAAAGCAACAGCAGCAAAAGTCATCTTTCGCAAAGAACATTATTACTTGCGGGGTTTAAATATTTCTAACCTTTTAAAGAAATCCAAACATCCCAAATAAACCCTAGTTAGAAATGACGTCAACTCTTCCACCTTTCTTAGCTAGTTTATGGTTTGTTTTTCCCTTGTCTTAAGAGCGGATCCCACTTCCGCTAGAGAAGAGGAAACCAAAGTAAACGACCATCTTAAAGCAAGAAGTCGTAGTGGGCGAGTTATTCTTAGTTTTCTTAGATCTACGTTCCTCTTTCTATGAACTTCGCAAATAGGCGCTGCGCGTCGTTTCCCGTCCTGCAGATCAGGAGTGGGTGCTCTTCTGAGCGGTGCAAGAACGCGCATGCGCAAAAGGAAATACTGTTTCAAAGAGCGAACACTCTTTTGTGTGTTGCATTTCCTGTATCTTACTAGCCGGATTTTTTTTAGGTGATACTGTTCCATCTTATCTGCCTAGTTCACAAATGCATTACATTAGAAAGACTCTGTTTGCATGGGCATTTTATCCTGGATTAACTAATCTTGATCTGATTTTGATTGAACGGTGGGGGGGAATTGTTCTCACTACATAACAGAATTAAATGGAACTGGCTGCTTTATGGCTCTGTATTGGCGCAAAGCTTCAAGTAGTTGAGACTTCAGCCTTCCTTAAAATTAATTGGGACCATGTGATTGACATCAATGCTTATGCCATCTCAAAGACTAGTTGCCCCTGTAAAAATGCAAAACTGTTGCCTTCAAAAGGGATTTGTCAAGCTGGAAAAAAAATCTTTAAACAAATATTTAGAAAATTTGCACTACTGCAACTAAAAAGTGATAGTAAATTCCACACTGGATGTAGCATATAACAATAAACTGCAAACTAACCCAACTACATTTGGCCTATTCTGTGTAGCAACACATTCTTTTATTAATGGTTATTCTGTATGTTGTGCAACCTGACCAGATTAGTCCAGGAGACCTGGTGCCTGTTGGCTCTTGAAAAGGTTGGCTTCACTTCGAACTTTGACCTGTCATACTGTGATGACCCGGGGCTGGGCACGGAAGCAACACCACCAGCACCACTCTGGTGCCCACTGTTATTTAGAGTCATCTTAAAGCAAGCTTACTAGACTTCTGGGCACTTGAATGTTATGTGAACACAACTAAAAAGTGATGTTTTTTGAAAATCAACTTTACATAAATTTATCTTTGTGGGAAAAAAATCAAAATCAAAGATGTGTTGTGATGGAAACTGCACTGAAGTTGACACATGTAAAAAAAGGAGTAGACCATGCATCACAACATTTAAAATTTTGCCTTTTTTTGATCCTTCCCCCTCATCCAGTAGTCCCCTTTTGTATGTGTATGTCTTGTAGATGATAATTAAGTGGGGTAATTTATAACCCAGGAGACAAAAATAAAATTCAAGATTGTTTTAATATATTTGGCAAATACGCTAAAATGACATCAAGAAATTCAACAAATACAAAAAGGTGTACTTCACATGCACAAGCAAATGTACATGGGAATTTGGAAATATATGGCTTGATAATATTACTTGTGTAAAAGAGCCTGAATTAATATTTGATTACAAACAAAACAGCAATCAATACTGTGAAAGGGCTGCAATGATGGTAAAATGCAATTTTGGACATCAGCAATAGCATAGTTTTGCTTCACTTTATTTATTATACCCACTTCAATTTAATGTCCAGCATCATACTTTAAGAACAACAATCAAACACCAAATGATTCATAAAACATGTTTTGTAATGAACATGATTAGGGGAATAGAAAAATGTTAGTTTAACAAAAAATAGCGTACTCCGTTAGATCTGTCCAAGCAGAACTCAGATAGCTATTTGTTGTGTTTTAATTTAGATTCTTGCATAGAGCAGACAATTGGATTTGATGCCACACAGCCTCTTCTGACTCTGTAGTTCTTTGATTTCATAATATGATTTACATTATTTGAGTCCCACCATTGTGATTTTGTAAGCCATGGTTTATGCCTTAGTCTGGTAGGTGAATTCATTTGGTTATGGCTTCATGTGATTTGTAAACTCAGACAGTTTATGGTAGATGGAACTTACAATGCCAACTTTAGGACTGGTGTGATTTAGAGCTTTAGGGATTTGTGCATGGAACAAAACAGTTCCTAATCTTGTGGATCAATGCCCTTTTCTCACATGACCCATTTGCAAGGCTACTATCCTGAGTAGTCCTAAATTATCCCTCTTGAGAGTGGAGGAACCACCTTTAAAACTTTTTCCCCAACTGCCGGGCATATAAAGTACTAATACTTAACTATAGAGACATAGTCCTTAGATGTGTCATGAAATATTGTGCTCTGATAGTGCATCCTTGATGCTATCAGGAAAGTAAGCCTGAAGTGAAAAGAAGAAAAGGGCAAAATGCTGATTTACTCCAAAGAGGTAGATTTAGGGCAATTTCTGTGTCTATGCAGTTTTCAGTTTCTCTTTTCTTACCCCAAACAGTACAAACACAAATACCAAGCTTTCAAGTAGCTGATTAGTTGGGCACATATACATTTTGCCACCAGTCCTTAAGTATGTGGAACATAAATTCTTTTATTTAAAAAAAGGAGACGTTCCAGAAATAATTAAAATAACCAAACATTCTTTCAGCAGCATACCCATTCTCCATCATAGTATACATTGTTCGAGAAATACTCCTAGAGAAACCAGCATGTGTTCTGTCTTCTCTGCCACCTGGATGATGAGGTTTGAGTCTGTTCTTCTAGTGCCAGGGCACAGATTTGAAATCTCCCAAACTTTATTAAGAATCTGCACAGTCTCAGACACACAAGGACTTTGTTAGGTAAGGTTCCAAGGTGGAAGTCCCTGAATATACATACAAGCAAACTTATGTAGTAAATTCCATACAAAGCATTTCAAATGGTGCCATAGCACTGGTTAATCTACATTTGATCATTTATACATTTCTAAGAAAGTAAAAAAAAATCCCTCAAAAGTTTACTTTTGACAATCTATCATAATTATGGCATTTCCAGAGCAATCTTCTAGTGGGGTTATTCCATTATCTATAACAGCTATTTTGTGGTACAACTTGCATCTCCACTGCAACATTGAAACTGCATAGCCAGAGTTGTTGTTGTTAGTTGTGAAGTCATGTTCGACCCATCGCAATTCCATGGACAACGTTCCTCCAGCCCTTCTTGCTCTCTACCATCCTCTGGAGTCCATTTAAGCTCACACCGACTGCTTCAGTGATTCCACCAAGCCGCCTCATTCTCTGTCGTCCCCTTCTTCTTTTGCCCTCAATCTTTCCCAACATTAGGCTCTTCTCCAGTCAGTCCTTTCTTCTCATTAGGTGGCCAAAGTATTTGAGTTTCATCAGATTTGGCCTTCTAAAGAGCAGAGTTTGCTTTTCTATTCTGGGGTGTTTCACTGAACAGCTAACTTCGCATCCTAATAATAAAGTCATTTTGGCCTCTTTATTAGAACTAAATTCCATATGAATTTCACCCATAATTTCTCTCGATCCACCCATTACAAAAAAAACAGTGTCTAAATTATCTCTTTAAAAAGAAAATAAAAATGAATTTGCTCAAGGTATTTGTAGGTATTTGCTGTTACTCAGCAGAGGGCAGCACCAAATCAATTTTGCTGACCAAAATTAAGTAGATTTGTGAGACGGGGAATGCCTTCCAAGTCAGGGTTAACTCCTGGTTGTGGGTGAAATTCATGTGGAATTTAGTTCTAATAAAGAGGCCAAAATGACTTTATTATTAGGATGCAACTTCCTGGAGTAACTCTGCAGTTTTCCTGGCAAGTTTTTCAGAAGTGGTTTGCCTTGTTCTTTTTTAGGATTGAGAAACAATGACTACCTCAAGATCCCCAGGCTGATTTTATGCCTGTTGGAAGAAATATCCTTCTGGGTGAGGGCTGGGTGATAACTTCCTACATGCCTAAGATGGGAGTGGAACTTATGATACCTTTAACCACTATACCAAACTGGCTCTCAAGTAGATTTATTTTAATTGCCTAAAATGAGAAGGAGCCTAGTAGCACCTTCTCAGAGTAACATATTTTATTAAAGGACCTGAGATTTTGTGAACTACAGCCTACCTTGGTTCAAGTCAGTAATATAATTAGAGAAGAGCTCTTTGTGGCTGAGAAGCTGGAAAAAAAACACATCACACACTAAGGCAATGCCACTTCTGTAATGTTGCTTTAAAACACTGTGGATTCAATAATCAGAAATCTTACAATCCACACATGTATTATCCGTAGTCCCTATCGAAACATTTAATCAAGAATGTATACAAAATTACATAACTTCTACAGTTTGATACTTTTATCTTAAATATTTACAGAGTTAATCTAGGACACAAATTTCTTTGAAAACAAAGTTTAGTATAAAGTGACAGACACTGTTTATTTTTTTTAGATTTACAGTAGTGTTTCTGATGCATTAGCTTCAGACTCACTGGTTACTTATATTTTATTGAGAAAATTCTTTTTTAAAATGTCTCCATCATGTTATAGGCAAGTTCAAAGACAGCTTGTCAAATATCATTCACTGTCTGTAACAGGACAATTTCCATTCAATAACAATAGGACATTTCCATTCAATAACAATATAAGATCATTGTAAGAAATTACAACAGCATTTGGTATATTTTAGTTCCTTAAATATTGATTTGCAGACCTTCTTAGATATTGATTTGACACAACTAAATGACTTTTATTCTTTCTCAAAAATCATTTTAAAAAGATAAAATACAATTTAAAAAACCTACTTGTTGCATTTTCATATACAATATATTCTAATCATGTTGAAAACTACAGGTTTTACACCTTTAGAATACTGAAAAGGGGAAAAAACTTACAGTCTACATGTCATAAAGCTTAAGTTGTTCTTTGATATCAGATTCAGACATATCTCCAAAAGTGTCTGTTTTTTCCTTTAGAAGGGTGAAGATGGCAGCCAGCTGCTCTCTCTGAACCCTGCCAAGAAGAGAACAACAAAAAAAAGTGGGGGGGAATGGAGATACTTTTGTCTTGAGAAAGATAGTGGAGTTTGGCTTGCAATGTGCGATATTTCATATCTGAAAATTTAAAAAAATGCCTGATGGAGATGTGTGAATAATTTTTTTCCCCCTAAGAATAAAAACCTACACACATTTGATCTGAAATGCTGGGAATCTTGATTGTGAATCTCCCGTCAAGATGCTTTTTTATGCGGGATGACCCCACACACATTTTAGACACATTTTCACTTTTAGCAAGCTACCTCTTGCTACCTCCTGATATCATTAATTCCAATGTATATTTTGGGTTGTGAAAATTTACATATGGCACTAAGACTATTCACCTACAAATTAAATAATTTAAATGGGTGAACAATCTCTTATTGTTCACCCATTTAAATTACAGCACATGTTGTAAGGATCATTTTTAAGCACAAGAAACAGCTAAAAATCCAGTGTACTTTACAAATGTACTATTATTGTACTGCCACATTATCACTATTTTCTGATACTATTAATAAGGAGATCTACCAATTAATCAATTGAAATGTGGACACAACTAGATGCAAATGAGGATGCTTGTACAGTACCCTTGTTCAGTTGCCTGGAATATGACATTAGATGGATCTCGGTCTGGATTGATTATCTTACCTACCCTCTTAAGAGACTGGAGCCTCAATCCATCTTCTTCTAACAGGTAGCCCTCAACTTATCACCACAACTGGGATCAGAATTCCCATCACCAAGCTATGGAGTTGTAAAGCATAACATTACATGACTACATCACCTCCCACAGCAATACCAGCAATCCTGACTGCTGTCATAACTCCAGATGTATGGGTTGTTAAGTGGGAAGCAGAGGGAGTCCATAAGGAGCATGGGGGTACTGTAAGGGGATGAGAGAGGCAAGCCGTGCATGAGATTCAGGGAGGCTTGAGAAAGAGGGTATGGGGTGTGTGAACACATGTGTGCAAGAACAGGGAGGCTAGGGAATGAATATGCTGTGGCTCAGGGCCTCTCTGGTACATGGAGACTCTGGGACTGCAAGAAGCCCCTGACCCACAGTGCAAAGCCGCAGGAAGGCTCAGCTGCCCCAAGTGCTGGGTTGGGGCAAAACCAATATGCTATGGAAAGTGCCAACAGCCTGGCTCAAAGCCACAGATTTCCAGGAAGTATCAACAGAATGGGGCAAAGCCACTTTGCCCCAGATAGTGCCCACGCCTCAGCCACAGTTGCCTTTGCCCTTCTATATTCGGAGCCCACCCCGCCCTTCATTCTGCTGCACCACACAAAGCGCCAACAGCATGGTACAAAGCCAAAGCATCCCAGAAATTGCCCCAGCTGCACAGCTGCCACCCAAGAAAAGAGCTAGATAAAAAGCTAGAAAAAGAGCTAGATAAAGAAGCACCCATGAGGTTGTAAGTGTAGGCAGGCTGCCAAGTCCCCTAATTTGGATTGTGTGACTGTGAAGTGCTGCAACAGCCATAACTTTGGGGACCAGTTGTGTAAGTCACCTTTTCAATGCTTCTGTAACTTCAAACGGGCTGAATGAATGATTGCAAGCTGAGGATTACCTGTAGCATTTTAACATTAAATGAAACTTGTTTACCCAGGGCTTAGAAAATATTTCCCTTAGCTTAGTTTAACACGGGGATTCACTGTTTGTAGGATGCCTAGATCTGTCTCTTATTCTGCCTCTGCCATCATCTGCCAAGAGGGCGTTTTTGAAGTTTCTAAAGTCTCTCTCTGATGTTTGGGCTAATTTTTAGATGGCCACTGCTCCCTTTCAAGCTCTCAAAAAGCGGAGGCATCAAGTTGCAGGTGCTCCTAAGATTTTTTTTCTAAATGCGTATGTGCCTAGAGCACCACACTTGTCATTCCACCAAGAAGGGGGAAAAAACCCCAACAAAATCATGCCAAAACATGTGGCATGTTTTTTTAACACAGTGTAAAGCACAGGTGTCAAACCTGCGGCGTCATATTGCTATTACGTGACATTTCACAATGTTTTTCCCATTCGTGGAGCTGGGGTGGGCATGGCCTGCACACGACACATCCGGCCTAAAGGCCAGCCCTGGTGTAAAGTTCAATCCAAACGCCCAGATATGTAGGCAATTTTTCCCCTTGATGTCTTCTTTATCAATTACAGTGGTACCAATGATAGCTCTGCAGATGCATACAGGTAGATGCATACAGGTAAACCATGGTGTGTGTGTGTGTGTGTATAGCCAGAGATTTAAGAACTGACATTGGGGGAGAAAATTGGTGGAAATCCTCTTCCTTTTATTGCACTTCTAAAAAGACATGGATTTACAAGCTTGACTAAAATCATTACCAGCTGTGAAAAATGGTTAGCAAAGTTTACCTGTATGCAGACATTCTTAGTTAGGAAAGTAATTCTCTTGTTTTACATCTCTAATTGTGTGCAGAAGTTTAGCACTCTTGATCAAACTTTTTCAATAATCCCTAAAGGAACAGAAGCTAACAGAACCTTTATCTAGCACAAAATTAATTTTTCTCTGCAAATTTGAATGCATACATACTATTTATGTGTAGTTGTTAATAAGATTCAAAACAAAACAATGGTGAATATTGCAGGTGTAAAACATGTGGACACCTTTCCAATCAGTATTTGTAACATCTCCTTTGGAAGAAATATCCACTTTCAACTGTTTCTTATAACCACTTAAGGTCTTTATATTCTTGCTTTTGAAAGGTTTTCTCGCTCTTCCTTGTAGAATATTTCTAGTTCAGAAATAGTCATAAGTTTCTTTGCGTGCTATGCATGTTTGGGATATCTTTATAGATTTTCAGTAATATTCAAATCTGGGGATTGTGAAGGGCATTCTTTCGTATAGTAAATTAAACTATGGTTTTGTTTTCTAATGGCAATCAATCATAAGTTTCCCAGTTCCAATTCAAATCTGAATTTATTGGAAATAAGAGCAGTGTGTATACTATGCATATTTATAAACACAATGACCAGTCATGAAAACTATTTAAATGTTTATTGGACTGAAAAATGGCAATATACATTTTGAAATTGCTAGAAATTATAGTCCTTTGTACAAGATCTTCATATTTAGAAGAACAAAAACAAAAAACAAAAAAACCCCACTCAAGACAGCAATATTTGTCATTATTGAAGAGATAGCTTTGCTCATTGCTACTAGTCATTTTCCTTATATATGTATTGCTGCATACTGAAAGATTATATTGTATATAAGGCATTATTTGCATAGTTAATGGTGTTTTGAACACTGAGTCTATCAATGTGAATCGGAGGCAAAGTGGTTGCTAACAAATATCTCAAAGCAGAGTGTCCTTATATGAATGGGATTTGGTTGCAAACTGCAAACTATTAGAGAAAATAGGTATAGGAATGGAAGCTTATTTTTAAAAATTAACTATGGTCAAAGCTTCCTGCTGTTTCTTAAATAAGCCTGGGTAACAAAGAATTAGTCTAGAGGAAAACAGTTCTTAAACCTATGTGTCCCAAAGAATGATTGACTAAATAATTTCAAGTATTTCCAAATAATTAAGGTTTTGTTTCAAAAAGTAATGGGATGGATTATAAAGCTTTCCCTCAAAATACAGGAGAGCAACATTTTTTTTTTAAAAAAAAAATCCAATCTACTGAACAGGAAGTGATTATCAGTAAAATATCAAAATTGATGTGATGATGGAATAGTGAAACAACATAAAAATGGATATATCTTTTAAACTTATTTAGGAAATGTAAAATTGGTAACCAAAGGGCCATTTTACATCCCATAGCTCACATTTTCAGATTCCATTCTTGGGAACAGGCTTGAAGTGTTAAGTAAACAAAAGCATTAGCTAACGAAGCGCTCTTAATCCTTGCAATTGAAATTAGTCACAAATTGTTATACCAAGACTGCAATCCTACACCCTTATTTAGGAGTATACCCCACTAAATTCAATGGGACAAACTTCTAAATATACGTGCATAGGGTAAATCTTCCTTGTTTCTTGGGACAGCCTTCTAACTAAGATGAAATACTGCCTCATTTTCAAGAGGCCAGAGTCTGTATCATGCAACCAACCTTCCATCTGTGGATGGAAGGAACTTTCAGAAGGTCTTATATATTACAGCTCTGTCTTCAAATTTATCTAGGTGGGGGGTTTTTTGGTCCAGGACAGAATGGTGAAAAGGGGTCAGCTCTAGCTTGTTCTACTATCTAGACAGGAAGCAGGTCCATTGTACAATAATTGATCACTTTTGTCCAGGTTATCTAGTTTTTTTTTTTTGTTTGTTTGGGGGAGGCTACAGATATGGAGTACTGAACACAACAAAGTGTGCTTGCTTTATTCCCCCAGAGATTTTACTTTACATCCAAGAACAGAACCCTCAGAGTGTAGTCTGCTATTTTCTCTAGCCATATAATTCTCCAGACCAGACACCCCAACTTGTTCCAATCTTGATATTACAAGGATTTATTCTGAGGAACTCAGCTTCAGCCAAACAGAAAGTCTTATATTTTGAGGGATAATTTTCGGTTGTGTTTGGGGTTTTGCCCCCCTTTTTCCCCCACTCAAGCCTTTAAAAATGCCAAAAGGTAAATCTTAGGAAGAGTCTAGGGATAACTTCATATAGTCTTCAGTTCTGCAAAGAGAAACAAGAAGAAAATAAAGAGAATACATTTTAATTGTGCCACTTTGGGTCAGTTATATATTACTAATGCTTTTATTTATTTTTTAATAAGAGGCGAATAACTCAGTGCAGGGAAGGAGTCTTAAGGAAAGTTTCTAGACCTTTTGGGCATACACAAATAACATAAGGATGCCTCAGGTTTTAAGAGGTTACTTCATCATTTGCAGCAGGATAGCCTATGCCCAAGAACACGAGTATCTACAGCACATCTCATTTTCCATCAGGAGCATTTCACATTTCTCTCTAGGCCTATAGAGTGAAAACTGACAAGGATCTCTTTGACATTTGGGGAAAGGAGAAATACAGAACTGTGTCTGTACTGAGAACTGCCTTCTTTAGAAATCCCATGATTTGTTGCTCAGAATCATGTACAGATTCAGATGTGGGGAGCCAATATGAGCTGTTCCATTTGTCAGAAGCCAGATTCGCTAAGCCTAGAATTGGAACTTGCAATGAAGGGGACTGTCATACTGCGTAGCTATCAACAAGCTCCTTTTTGTCCTGGAAGTGCATCCCACTTCCTTCAAAAGTCAGTGAAAGAAGCCAGATGGTAAAACTTTCGTTCATATACCATGTTTCTCTGAAAATAAGACAGGGTCTTATTTTCTTTTGACACCCCCCCCCTGAAATAAGCACTTGGCTCTCTTATTATTTTTGAGGTGCAGGAGGTGGAAAGCGTGGTCACCTCGTGGCTGTTGCTATGTTGCAATATTTTCAGGGAGGGTTTATTTTCAGGAGAGGGTTTATTTTAGCGCATGCGCTCAAAAGTCCGATTGAGCTTATTATCTGGGGAGGTCTTATTTTCAGGGAAACAGGGTAGTCCCATGGCAGATGCTAATTTTCAAATGTCCAAAAATATAACCATTCTATGAATGCTACTTTCATTTTCAATTGTGTGTTTTTATAAGTCAAATACTAGGTTCTAATATTATATTAAGAAAGCACAGGCTTGGTGAGGATCATTGTTATGATGATGTGGATACTTGTAAGCCATTCATCATAGACTGTTACTGAAAAGGCCATTGGTTGTACATAACGTCCACTTCTTAAATATCAGGCAAAGAGTTTGTATAAAATGTAAATGCTGTACTTTTGAAGCTGAAAAAGTCTCACTGCTGCACAATTCCATCTATAATTATGCAGATCCTCTGTAGGTAATGAGATTAAAACCTAAAATGGACCATCTGAAGCTCCAGGAACAGATGAAGCCTTCAAATCTCTCTCCCCCCCACCCCAAGTTTTGTCTGTCTATAGTTGCTAAAAATCTGTAATTCCTTAATATTTTGAGATAGGAAATTTGTTTCCCAAGAAGCATTATTTCAACAGTTACAACAAGCTTCTTGGGTGTGAAGCAAAAAGTTTTCAAATAAACTCCCTCACCACCACCACCCCAAAAAAAGTATAGTTGCCTTTTGGAAAAAGCATCTTTGGAATATTTCAATAGACTATGGCTAGTTTCTAAGTTTTATTTTAATAGACAATATTAAGATATTAAAAGATGGGCTGTCCCAGGGTTCCAGCTGCAGAAAAATCAGAGATTAGCTCTGTAAAAAAAATGGTCAACAAACTATTCTATACTGTACTGTCCTGATGTGCCTATGCTTATGCTTTATTTTTAAGTGATGCATAGTGCGTTTTTTTTTACAGTTATATTCTGCATGGCCCATTTTGCAAAGTAACTTTGGGGCAAACAGATTGAGTAACATTTGGCAGTCATTTTCTTGAGCTGTGCTATTATACAGCAGTTGTCATCAAAACATTAATAGCTGTGTTAAAGCTTTTCTAACTCTAGTTCAGCTGAAATATTTCTTAGGAGCATCAGTTGAAAATGCAGGCAGAAGGAGCTCACTTGGTTTCATATGTTAATTCAACAACACTACAACAAGTCATTGGTATGCCAGATTGATATCCTAATACTTTAGTGCAAAACTACAGAAATTTTTGTAAGCTTCAGGCCATTATTGTTTACTATTGTTGCAACAATAGTAAAGACAACAGAATTCTCTGAATGGTTTTGAGTTGGGAGAGGAGGAATGTTTTCCTTGGACATGTAAAGCTTATTTCAGATTTAATTTAGCAATTTCCCCCCTGTGTTTGCTGTTAATTTGCTGCTCAATTACCTCAATGATCTGAAAACCTTCAGGGCTGCAAAAACTATAGTTAGCTTGTAGTTTAAGCCCCATCTACCATCGCTCCAAAATGTTTATTTTTGTTAATATACTAACAAATTATTATTTAAATCAATGTTTATGTTTTACCTGAGAAATCCTAAAATTGCCTGGAGTAATTCTTAGCTATAGAACTGTTTAATCTGATGGATTATTATCTAATTCTTATCTCTTTTATGAGGATATACTTGCAAAATACAGGTCAAAGCTGAGAGCTGACTTTCAAACTGAGAGTTTCAAAGGTTGCATCTGGACAGCAAATTCATCCAACTTCCTTCAAAATTTCGTGAATGAAGCAAGATAATAAAACTTTCATTCATACCCTAACCCATGGTAGATGCTAATTTTCAAACGTCCTGGTAGTTTCCTGGTTTTGACTCGCCTTTTATCACTGGTTGAAGAAGAATTGTACCCACAACATCAAATAGGTTTGCAGGCAGAAAATATCTGACAATGACTGGGTCAGAAACATGAATAAGGAGACAAATTCCTTGTGTGTCCAATAATACTTGGCCAATAAAGAGTTCTATTCTAGGAAGTATAGAAGCATATACTGCAGAGACTGCAGATAGGTTAATGAGAATAAGAAGCTGAGCAGAAATGGAAAACAATCAAGGGGTCAAAGCAGCTTTCCTTGTCATCCCCCCCTCCACCCCCATCTTCTCTCTCTCTCTCTCTGCAGATGTAAAGAAAAAAGAATTCAATTCATTGATTAAATTTCCCATAGAGACAATTCCTGTAGAGATTTATGGAGATGGTCTTGAGGGGAATATTCAGCAGCCATCTCTCACACCCAGAAAAAAAGGACAGAAGCAATCCTTAAAGTATGGTAAAAAAGGTAATATTTGGAAGACATTCAGGCTGGCTCCTTGACTCACTAAATGGGAGGAGAGGAAAAACACAATCAGATTTGCAAGATTCTGTTAATATAGTTTATAAGGTTTTATAGGCTTAAAAAAAAAATCAAATTTTTATATGTTGAAATACAAAATCGGACTGTATCGTTTTTTAAAAAAACTTACTACTGCTTTTGAAAATGATAGAAATTTGAAAAGTATGGACTAGCAATCAGCTACTTTGTAGTCCAAATGATCTTTTCGATTTGCCAGTTCTTTCCATAAATTGTTGCTTCATTTTTCACAAGGTGTTGCTGGTGCCCCATAGCAGATAACTGCCAGCAGAAATAGGTCTTTCTGCCAGAAAATATTGAGCGAGCCAGATTGCTGATGTTTGGGAAATTGTAACTGATATACTTTTAGTATCCCACTTCTTTAGTAAATAAAGTTTACTAAATGTGGTTATTTTCACAAATAATATCTGCAGCAATATCCAGGTCTTTCTATTAGTTGGATCAGGTTACTCAAAATCACAATCCAGATGAAATAGGTTAACTGAAGCCTTAGTGAACCTATTGGGCAATGCATAGGATTTCACTATGGCTAGAAGGCATCCAGGTGAAAAAGCTGACCTATTAAAAACTGGTCTGGTCTGAAAATCTTTCCTGGGTTAACAGATTGAACAGCTTAATTTGAAGAGTAACATTCCCTACTCATGTACTCTATAACTGAATTTTGACAATAAGGCCTGTTGCCCGCCCAGACTGGGAATTAATAGTAACTGTAGTCCCAAGATATCCAGAAGCCCCAGGCTGGGGAAAGAAACACATGACACTTTTATTGAGGGCACTAACTCCCCCAAAGTTTTTGTCCACCCTTCTTGCCCAACCTTCTATCGTGCTGCAGAAGATGAAATGGGGGGGGGGGAAGGAGCAGAAACTTACCAGCCTCTCTTATCCCAAAGAAACACCATGTCGGACAGGAAAGCAAAGCTGCTGGTAAAGGAGTGAGAGGAGGAAGAGGAGGAGGACGACGACAACAACAGTGGAGAGGAGGCAAATGACAGAAGAGGTGAAGGTATTCACCATCCCAAGGCAACACATAAACACACAGGGTTTCAGCAAGCAAAAATTATGGGGAAATTAGCAGAAGAGCATGCACTGAAGAGCAGGGTTGGCAGATGCCAAGGGATAACTGTTCCAAGAGATCCCCATCCTTATGAAGGCTGGTGTTTGGGAAAAGGGAAACTGGAAAAATGTTTGGATGCCATGATTAACCTTCTGCTCCTTTGGCTTATATATACAGGAGCTGTTATGAATTGTCCAGTCCAAATTTAAGTACAGCTTATAGATTGATTTGTTATTATAAGAAGACAATGTTTTTTTAAAAAAAGAAAATAAAAAGCAGACCTCAAATGGAAAATTCTACCCCCTCTTGCTGTACCTTCTTGGATTTCAGCAAGGGTTTGTGGCCCAATAGCTTTTTAATGTCAGATATTGTTCTTTCATTTAGGTGAATTGAGTTTCGGATTGTGGTATCCAATTTGCTGCAAGCTTTTCTCATCACTGAAGTTTAGATGAAAGGCAAGGACAACTGGAAGAGCATCTCTATCTTAATCTCACTCCATTCCTCATCTGATAAATGAATGCCTACTGGTAAGCAAGTATTTGTACATCTTCTTTCTCCCAAGTAGCTAACAGAACATGTGATATTGCTATAGCAATCTTCATTCCATATTCCCCATCTCTGGTGGAATGGAAGTAGGAAAGCATGATGACAACTAAAGTTTCTTCATGCATTGTAGAAGGGAAAGAAACCTACATATGTAATTATATTTCCAAGAAGCACCTAAGCAGGATTTGAGGGTATTAGCCTCTCCCACTGTTAATTCCTAGCATTCAGTCTTCAGGGATATAAATCTCTCTCCTGGAGATAATATGCAAACAGCATAATTAGCAACCATTGTTCACTTTCTTTTCTATTAATTTCTAATTTTCCCCACACTTGGAAAGGTTTTTTTGCTGTAACTGGAAGAAGCAATTTTCTGTATTTAGCACAGATCTATTGCCTCTTTTGTCTTAATCTTCAAAATGAACCTCAGATTCTCAATTTCTCTCACCTACCCCTCTGGAAAAAATGTGATAAAAGACGTTTTAAGCAAATGACTAGAAGTATATATTCGATTTGCAAAAAAAAAACCCACCCAGGTTTCCCTTTCTAAATCTACTGTGTTATCGTTATTTTAATAACAGAGCATTTACAAGTAGGGAACCTTCAGTTCTATAAAAGTTGTTGAATTACAACTCCCAATATGTTCCCTTCTCCCATTTGCCCTGGATAGGTCTCGTGAAAGTGGTTAAAAAAAGCACTTAGAGGACCACGGGTTCCCCATCCCCTAGAATAATTATGTATAAATTAGTTATTATGTTCTGAAGGAACTGCGGTTGAGAAGATCTCTATCTCCTCTTGCTTAAATAATACTAAACACCTTGTATTAATAGCAATAGCACGTATGTTATATACCATTTCATAGTGCTTAAAGCCCTCCCTAAGAGGTTTACAGATTCAGCATCTTGCCTCCAACAATCTGGGTCCTCACTTTACTGGCCTTGGAAGGATAGAAGGCTGAGTCAACCTTCAGCCAGTGAGGATCAAACTCCTGGCGGTGAGTTTAATTAGCCTGCAGTACTAAATTCTAAATACTGCGCCAGCATGGCTCATAATACCAATTTAATCTTCAACAATTCACTAAAAGTGCTAGGAAATATAAGTTTAAGAAATGTTATGAAGGATACAACACACCACTCCAAAATTACATCTCAAGATTCCTACAAAAAAGACTAGATACTAAAAACTGAAGATATGCCCAAATAATGCAATTTAGCAAAAGGGATTTTGTTGGCAATTTCAAATGAGAAAACATCTTATCTTCATCTTCTGAGAGCATGCTACTATGAGGCCTTCATAGTGTCATCTTTCAAGGAAAAATGAAAAATACAACGTAGTAATTAAAAGATTAGAATTGCAAAAACCATTTTTTCAAGCTTCAAAACTTGCATTAAAATTGTTTTATAAATAAATACATAATGCAGTCCTATTAAAATTAACCGGGTGTACATTTATAGACCTGAAACTGACTTGAATTTAACCTATTTGCAATGCATTTAAATGTCTGCCATTTAATGAAACATTGCAGCTCGTGCCTAGAATCTAAATATTATTTATAGATTTGACTGAATAGCCTGAAGCTGGTGCCTCAGTAGGGAGCTATGACTAATCCTTGGAGCCTCTTTGACTGACTGCTCTCCTTCCCTGTTGTTTTTCTCCTTCATGTTGCCTGATTTCTGAAGGAGTACAAGCAAGTTCGAAGAGCAGCAAAAAGAAAGAGCAACATCCTCACTTTTTCTGGAAGACCTGCAACTCAAGCAAAGAGCTTTTTCTGTAAGTGGGTAAGGGCAGCATGTTGAGGAAACAGGAGAATTTATTCTGATGCCTATACAACAAGCTAAGGACTATTATTCTCTGGTGTCTGCAAAGCCCTTACAAATAGGCTTATAACTATCGGAGCAAACATGGGATAAGCTGTACCTTGTAAGGTAAAGGTAAAGGTTCCTCTCGCACCTATGTGCTAGTCATTCCCGAGTCTATGGGGCGGTACTCATCTCCATTTCAAAACTGAAGCACCAGCGCTGTCCAAAGACGTCCCCGTGGTCATGTGGGTGGCATGACTAAATAGCAAAGGCGCACGGAACGCTATTACCTTCCCACCAAAGGTGGTTCCTTTTTTTCTACTTGCATTTTTACATGCTTTCAGACTGCTAGGTTGGCAAAATAGAATAGGTAAGGCAGAATATCAAAGATCTACATATACCATCCATAGTGCGGAAGTGATGCAGATTTAAACAAAAGAGATTGAAGCATGTATTTTGATTGATTGTGTCACCGATATCTCATAGTAGCTAAGAGCAGGAGCTTTACATTGAAAAACAAAACCTTTCTGCTGATATCAACATACTGACTCTCAAGCAAGCTACTCTCTCAGCCTTAGTCTCCTCCATAGAAACTGCTACATTTGACTGATTTGGACAGACAGTCCCTCCAGTCCCAAATGTCACAGAACTGCCCCCCCAGGACTCATTGAATTGGCCAAGTTGCCCAAAGTTCAGACTTCAAATCAGAGGGACACGTTCCTCCTCTTAGCTAAAGACTGTGGGTGAGGTAATAGATGGGAAAGGCCAGCAGCATATGTTCCACTAGGCAAAAGTGCACCTCTTTTGTTCCACTGAACTGTGGTGCTCCTGATAAATGAAACGGGGCACAGAGGAGTGGGAGACTAATTTATTAGTTATGAATGGGGAGAAGGGAAGGAGGTGCAGGGGGAGGGAAGAACATGGTCAACTTTAGTTTCCAGTCACATTAGCAGAGGTTATAGGTGGAACCACTACTTCTAAGAAGTATCATCTCCTTACCAAAAAGATTTGCTAGAATGTTTGTGGCCGAGGACCTAAGGTACTTGCTACAGGGATGTGAGGTCAGAGGTCAGCTCAATCCTGCAATATAATAAACGCAGCAAACCTGGGTCACATCAGAATGGCAGCAATGCCAGGCAATGCCAACAGGAGGGAGAAAAAAAAGAAAAGAAGGCCAGGAAGGGTCGGGATGCACACGCAGGCACATGGCATGAAGAACCAAAGGCTCGAAGGGCGGATGGCATGGCTTTCCTCAGCCGATTCAGTGAAGCTCCTTACCTGAGGGCAACCCTGCCCAAAGAAACCACAACAAAGGAGGAGGGTTTGGAAAAGCCTGAAGTGGAAAAATGCTGATGCCACCACCAGCTCTCCGAGGGAGGGGGGGGGAATAAAACAAAACAAAAACAACTGGAAGAAACAAACACAGACCAACAGACAAGGTCACTGTGACGAGAAACAGAGAAACCGTTAGAAGAAATGCAACAGTCTGCCAGACGCCCATTAGCAGAAGAGGGGAGGGGGGGAGGGAGTTTGCAAACAGCTCTGCACAGGCCAAGGCAGCAAGCATTGGGCAGGTGAATTTGGAAAGAGAATACAGGACACAGGAAACCCTAGCCAATCATGGTGTGGGTGAAAAAGGTTCTTAACAAACCCTTCTCCTCCGGAGATACTCAGGTTCGTGTCAGGAAAAAGATCAGTTTTGGTTATGTGTAACAAAGGTCAGGGAATCCTGTTTCATTATTGTCCCAAAGGTGCTTCTTTCAAGAGGCTTTGTTATGGTTGCATTTCTTCCTCTGTATTTGTTCATTTTATTTTACAAAGCCACTCCAAGTGCAGCCTACTCCCAGTGACATAGGATTCCTGTTGCCTGATAAATCAACATTTGCACTTGATTTCTCCAGTGTGTAATTCTTCAGATGCAAAACCCTTAAAATTTCCAACCAAGATGCACGGTGGAATATATTTGGAGGGGACCACATCAGAGAAGGCTGATCTGCACGATTGTCAAAGCAGGCCTGAATAACATGTAGTGTCTGGAACTGATGCAGCTTTGAATTTAGTTCCAAAGGGCTCAAAGTGCATCTGCTGGTTGTATAAGGAGATGAAGTTCCGTATGTAATTCTATTTGGTCAGCTGCCTATGGTACACAACTGGTATGGCAAGTTTTGGCACTTGGGAGCATGCTGTGCATGACTGACTGCTATAGAGACACAGCACTACCTTGGTTTATAGCTATAGCCTTAAAGGGTATTGATGCCACTTTTCTCATAATGCCCAATAGAATCAAATAAATAATCTAAGGCCCAGGAAGACAGTATCTAGTCATAACTAGTCAAACTAGATTCATCAATAGGCAGAGGAAATTGAGAAAATAAATAAGAGCCACACCATTCACAAAGCATAAATGAACACAGCAATGGGATAATTATCTAGCGCCTCTTTTGCCTGCCAGCCATGCCTCAGTTAAAAACTAGCTAATAATTTTGGAAATGTTGATACTGTATTGGTATCAGTAGAAATGATAGAAGGAATCCATCATATTAGACTCTGAGGAGTGTTGAATATTTGATAATAGAGGAATGCTCCCGGAACCTTGATTTGTTGTACAGTGCAACCTATAATACCAGTAGTTACAAAAATAATAATTAAAAGAATGTAACTCATTTGCACTTTTGAGATTTGTATATGAATGCAAATATGCAATGTCCCCTGAATGTTGTGAATGCAACGGAAGAATGGGAGATAAATAATACTTATAATCTGAGATGGCTCGCAGTATTGTGTATAATGATACACAACAGCCTTAAATAAAATGTAAAATGAGCTTGTTCAGAGATGAACCTCAGCAAATAATCCAAGTTTGTGGATTTGTATCTTTGCTGTATTGTTAAATTATTGTAAAACTCTCCCAAAGAAACATTGCACTAACAATATTTGAAGGCATTTCAATAGAACAGGGAATGAGTATCTCTTTAATCAAAGAGATCATTTGTAAAACATTCCATCGAGCAAACAAGGGGGCTACAGGTCTCTTCCTGATCTACAATTCAGCAGATAAATGCACTGCACCCCATCCTTTAGGAAAGACTGTTCTTCTTCCACTGAGATCTATGATTTATATATCATTTGTCTTAGTAGTACACTCTTCTCCAAATTAGGACTCATCAAAGGATTATCTGTATATTTAAACTGAATATGTACACATTTAAAGGAAAAGGTTTCCTCTGTCCAGTCGTGGCCAACTCTAGGGGAGTAGTGCCCATCTCTGTTTCCTAGCTGAGGAAGCCAGCATTATCCAAAGATGTTTCCGTGGCCAGTATGGCTATAGGCCAAAGTGCATGGAATACTGCTACCTTTCCATCAAAGTGGTACCTATATATCTACTTGTATTTTCATGCTTTCGACTTGCTAGGTTGGCAGGAGCTGGGGCAAGAACGGGCACTCATTCCATCATGTGGTACTTGGGTCTCAAACTGCCAACCTTCTGGCCAACAAGTCCAATGGCTTAACTGCTAGGCCACTATGCCTCTTATATATACATTTAAAACCTGCTACGTTCACTCACAGAACCCCTTGTCTTCTCTATGTGGTTACATAATTGCTTGGCCCTATCAAAAAAATCCACAGTAGAAATGACTAACTGCTAGTTAAGAATTGATTTTGTTTGTTGATGTACATCTTAGATCAAGAACTGGGTAACAGGAGGGACACATGCATTGATAACTTGACATTCCTAGTTAAACAGGAGGAACATTGGTATAGGCAACTTCTCATGCTGCAGTACTGAAGGGTTGACAAAAGTTGCATTGCCTGAAATTCTACACAGCTGTTCAGGAGACAGGAAAACTCATCCATTGGATTTGATCCTTCCTAGTAGAGGTATGCACAACTCATGCCCCAGATTTACAAGTAATCCACCCCCAAATACCCTGTTTCCCCAAAAATAAGACCTTCCCAGATAATAAGCCCAATCAGGCATTTGAGTGCATGTGCTAAAATAAGTCCTCCCCTGAAAATAAGCCCTCCCCAAAAATATTGCAACACAGCAGCAGCCATGAGGTGACTACGCTCGCCGCCTCCTGCACCTCAAAAATAAGAAGACCTCCCCAAAAATAAGGCCAAGTGCTTATTTCGAGGTGTCAAAAGAAAATAAGACCCTGTCCTATTTTCAGGGAAACACGGCAATACTAAGACTCCAATTCCTCCCCCAGTTTTGACAAATACACTAATTCTTAATTTAGTATATAAAATTAAATGCACAGAAATAATCATACATTGGTTTTGTTTAATTAACTGTATTTAATTTCAATTAACTTTCAATTAAGCCAAATTCAGTTTTGTATTTCATGCACCCAATTTTTTACCATGCCCTTCCACACTGTGTTACTCAAAAAATGGGCAGCTATCTGATCAAAAGAAAGGATCCACACAAAGGAACCAAATTATTTGTCCTGAAAGCAACCAAATGAACTTGAATTTAGTGGCTTATCTAAGCCTCAACCAAATGGTCAGATAAAAACTTATCTCCTTAAATGTTCTATGGGAATTTTGTTTGCGATGGTAACATTAGGTTTGATTATAATTGTGAGTTTATATGTTCTTTCAGCTTTTTCCCCTTATCATAATATTCTATTCCAAAACATACAATTTTTGTAGATTTAGTAGCATTTTCAGCTGAACTCTGATAGATGAAAGAGCAACATTTTTACTTTTGTGTATCATAATAGTTTAGAAATTTTATTGCTGAATAAATACTAATAATACAATAATGGAATTGTTGTTAAGAATGTATATTTAAAGTAAAGTTTGGGCTTTATGGGGTTGATTAAATTTGCAACAACATGAACTTCATCAGTCAGATAATTAATGGATCAGACTTTGGAACTCTATTTAGAAACAACATTTTTTCTTAGGCTCACAGTAAACATAATGGAGCAAAATTTGTAACAATATAAGCCAGAATTGCAAGACCTTTAGCAAAAGGGAATGCAGTATTGATCTATTTTTTTAAATCAGGAAAACAATGCTCTGAGCACATGCTATCAGTATATACTTATTCCAGCTGCAGCTATGCTGCAATTGCTCTACCATACTGTTCCCTAAACAATTTCTGAGATAGCAAGTAATTTATTTAATTTATTTCTGAATAGCCAAATTTATGGGAGTCAGGAAACCACTACAATTTTCTTAAT